AATTATGATTATTATGAAAATTGAATATACCATCCCTGGTAAAACTAGCTTACTAGAGTTTGCTCTGTTTATAAAATTCATTATGTCTCATAAACGAAGACAGATAGGACATACATTTATATGACTTTTTTTTCATTATTTTTAGGCATACAATCAGCTCCCACAAGTTACGAAACACCCTGTATAATAGATTTAATTTAAATTCGTAATAAGCATAAATTTATTAATATAAGTTTCACGTTTGTGTAAATTTATTTTATCGGAGCAAAATGTTTCATTTTGTGAAAAATTGCCCAGTCAATTGAATCTCTGCCAAATTTCTGGATTTGTTTATTTCAGTTTTTGAACTTGCGCTAATTTAATGAAAATATCTTCCAAATTTCTAGTTTTCTGGTTTTTCGAAAATTTTCTAAATTTTCTAAATTTCCAATTCATAGAAAGTCCGATTTTCTAGATTGAATGAATTTATCTGCAATAAGTGAGAATTGCAGAATCAGTAAACGTTTTTCGAAATTTTAACTATCTTAACAAAATAAATTTCGATTCATCAAACTGAATATATATTGATCATTAGATTATTGTTAATTTCAATGTTAATTTTTCATTAACAAATGACGCGAGACAGTCAATAATTTTATAAAATGAAATCATGTTTAAAGAATCATGGGTAAGAATATTGATGGGAAATAGTCTAGAATAAAAGTTGTTAATTTTCATATTTGTTATACCATGTAAATAACTTTTTAAACTTCTTTTTCCTCGTCATTCTATGCTAATTTAAATTTTGCCTAATGACAATTTTTTTCTATCTTTTATTGTTTCAGAGTTGCAGTCTATTCCAGTTGCGTGGGACACTTTATAAAGGAATCCATTATTGGTAAGTACTATAAAATTTTTTAAATAAAAAAAACTTGCGCAACAAATAGACGTAAAACAATTTCCTATCCAGGTCTCATTTTTAAAGTTTCATTTCAAGGAAACGTGAAATTCCATAAACATCCAATGACCATTAATTATTAAATTATTATTGTGCCATTATCACATATTTTTATATTTAAATTATTATTGTGTATTATCACATATTTCGTAAATATTTTATCAAAAAAAAAAAAAAAAAAAATGACTAGTTGCAAGTTCCATTTTTCAAAGTGTGGATTTCTATAAATATCCAGTGATTATTCCCCGGAAATTGATCGGTAGCAAATTTTTAATCATTGCTCGCCCCCTCCTCTCCTCTTTCAACGAAAAAAGTACAAGTAAACTCCCATCGCGCTGTAATGACACAAATTTAAATGACCGCGGCTGCTCGTTGGCGGCCGTAAGAGATTGCAATTAGGATCCAGCGAGAGATCCGCGATAGCGATTACGATGCCTCCGTCGTGAGAAAGTCCCGGCACGAACCGCGCGCGCGCGGTTTCCTTACTTCCTTCCTTGAGAAGATTCGCCGGCCGCCGCTTCGAGGAATCTTCCCGGTTCGAGGCTGCGGAGTTCGCCTTTCGCTCGCGGCCGGTATGTTTAATTGATTGCGCCAGGGGTCACGGTTCATTTCCAAACGCGATCGTCGGTTTGACGATCCGATTACTTGGACTTGGCGGCCTTGGTCTCGTTGTTCGAGTAAAAAAAAAAAAAAAAAAACGCAGTGGAGCCGTATCTCCCGCATTTGAGATCAGGTGGAATTTTTTTCGAAACACTCGATATATAATTTTTATATAATTCATTTTATATGTATATATTATATTATAATTCTTTTGTGTAATTTTTTTCAATTGTAATATATTTATATACACAGATATTTATATAAATAAATTCTATATAAATTATATAAATTTTCATATATTATATATTATTTTATATTATTTTTATATATTATATATTAGTTTATATTATTTTTATATATTATATTATATATACAAATTATATATAAATTATATGAATTTTTATATATTATATGTATATTTATTATAATTATTTTATATAATTTTTTAAAATTATATTATATTTATATACACAAATATTTATATAAATATATAAATTTTTTTATATTATATGTATATTTATTGTAATTATTTTATATAATTTTTTTAAAATTATAGTATATTTATGTACACAAATATTTATATAAATATATAAATTTTTTTATATTATATGTATATTTATTATAATTTTTTTAATTATAATATATTTATGTACACAAATATTTATATAAATATATAAATTTTTATATATTATATGTATATTTATTATAATTATTTTATATAATTTTTTTAAAATTATAATATATTTATATACACAAATATTTATATAAATATATAAATTTTTATATATTATATGTATATTTATTACAATTGTTTTATATAATTTTTTTAAAATTATAATATATTTATATACACAAAAATTTATATGAATATATAAATTTTTATAGATTATTTTATATGTATATTTATTATAATTATTTTATATAATTTTTTATATATAAATACAGGGTGGCCACTGAAAGACTGAATGACATAAAACAATAATAACTTTTACAAACACGTTTTACAAAAATTTTTTATCATTTTATTTGGAAATACAATTTATTTATTTTATTTTATTTCATTACTTAATTTTTATTGTTTTTATTATTTAATTTCACTTAATTATTTTATTATTTATATATTTATTTACTTAGTTATTAATTCATTAATTTAATTTTATTCTCCAAGAGATGCTCTATAACCTACGAAAAAAGAAAGGAAATAAAAAAAATATTGAAAATGAACAAGTTACGACTTCTTATAAATTATTTCTCATCCATACTTTCATAATTAAAGATGTAATTACATGTATTCTTGTTTTATTAATTGTATATATTAATTTACAAAATCCTTATTTATTAAGATTGATAAATATCACAGAAAAGATTCAACTGTTGAAACAGTTTCGATGACGTGAAATCCTCGTTGGAGATCAGAACGTAAGAGTTAACGAACCCTGCGAGGCTAAATATCCCGCGGATATTGAAGTCTCGTCAAGCCCGCGATTTGCTCGAGGAATGTTGAACATTATCGAAATGAATTTCAATGTCTGGCTCTCGTGTTTTTCTTTCTTTTTTTTTTTTTTTTTTCCTCCAGTTATGTCCGAGACGAGACTATTTTTCCCTGTGCGCGCCGTATGAAAGTGTCAGGCGAAAGTTTCACGGTGTCAACGTCCTTCGAGCTCGTTACACCGCTATACTTGCTTGCTCACTTTTGTTTTTTTTTTAATTATCACGTCTATCGTAGACGTAGAAGGACGTCCGATCCTTTCTTTTCCATTTTTTTTTTTTTTTTTTTTGTTTAAATTTTTATTCCTCGTTAACGTCTTCAGTCTCTTTTATATCATTTGAAGCATCTGAAATAATAATTGCTCCTCGGGAGGTAGAAAGGCGTGTTTCGCTCTTGACGAAGGTCAAAGAACTATTGTACGTGTATTTTTTTTTTTTTTTTTTAATGAGATACGATGACAAGTAGTAAATTAGACAGTGTCGTTGAATTTAAAATTATTTTTGTTTGAAGTAATTACAATATTACAGTTAACACGTGTCGAGTTCTAAACTCCATAAACACGCTTTGTTGCGCAAGTAATTTACAGGCACTCTTGAATTAATGTAAATGAAGTAATAAACTTCGTGTATTATGTTTCTGCTGACTAGACTAAGTATTTTAATATATCGAAATGGGAAACAATTTTTTCAACATCGTGGTGTTTGAATATTAAGATAATATAATCAAATTAATATAACCATCTGTATCTATTTTTTAGTTAATTTATAATTTTATTTTATAATATAATTATTTTATATTATATTATATTTTATTTTTATTTTATACTATATTATATTTTATTTTATTTTTATTTTATACTATATTATATTTTATTTTATTTTTATTTTATACTATATTATATTTTATTTTATTTTCATTTTATATCTATTTATTTCTTAGTTATTTTATAATTTTATTTTATTTTATAATGTAATTATTTTATATTATATTATATTTTATTTTATTTTTATTTTATATCTATTTCTTAGTTATTTTATAATATAATTATTTTACTTTATTTTATTTTTATTTTATATCTATTTCTTAGTTATTTTATAATATAATTATTTTACATTACATTATACTTTATTATAAAAATAAAATCATTTATTTTAGTTTATAATATAATCAAATTAATATAACCACCTGTATCTATTTCTTAGCCATTTTTAAGTACATTTTTGGCGTTCATGGACTGAAATCTTCAAGCAAAATTCGTTCAATTTCAAATTTTTCGCTGATGATTTCTACGTAACTCGACCCAGGTTGAACGCATCCGTTGCATCATTACAAATAATAATAAGCAAGTTGCACGATACACACACGTCACTCTGTTTCTTACTTTCCTCAATTTTCCCGCGAGCCGAGTTCTTCCGTACTTTCGTCTTCGTTCATCCACTTTCGCAAAGGCGCCTCGAGCTCGCCTCGTTGGCTCGCCTATCGTTCATAAATCGCCAACTGACGAAACTACGGTGAATTTACAGACGGTGTTCTCGCAATCGTCGCCTTAGCATACAATCATGGGAGGTTCCGGCGCAGGGCTACGCTCCATTTTCCTTCGTCTCATCTTCCTTTTTTTCTCTCTCAGCTCTCCCCGTCTCTCGTTTCTCTCTTTCTTTCGTTTTCAACCAACCGAGATAATTACCCCGAGATTGTGTTTTCTTTTCCTCGCGTCGTCGTCCTCGCCTTTCTTTTCTTTTCTTTTTTTTTTTTTTTTCTTTCTTTCCAAGCGCGCTTCCAACTGTCTCGCGACACAAGAGGAGAAAGAAGTTGGAGTTGCTTCGCCGTTCGTCGAAGACGGCCATTTTAACCTCTTGCGTTGGAATGATGTGCCTCCCATGACTTTTCTCCCAAAATTGCAGTGTTCCCTCAATTTTAACTACATCGAAGTATAACCCAGGCAAAACAAATAATAAATTCATTACTTCTCAATAATTTCCAGCCAGTGATATCGTATCGACGAGTTCGAAAAGAAGGCGACGAATTGTCGTATTTGGTCACTCGTTATGGTCCGCAATCAGTTTGCCAGCTTAAGGTGGTATTCCAGTGTTTCTCTAACTTTGTTGGGGAATTTTTTGCAAAGAAACTGTTATACCTTTTGCANTGCAAAGAAACTATTATACCTTTTGCAGTCAAATTGACAAGGTTTGTCTGTACGTATTTCAACGACGTTTTAAAATTTCTTAGGACAAAAATAGTTAAAATTAGCGCTCTCACACATAGTCGTCTCCACAGTGTCTATGATTCCGGCCATTCTGCTTGTCGGAAATAAAAAAACGTGAATGTTCCTCAATTAGTATAAGTTTGGCTATAGGATGTAAAAACAAAAGAAAAAAAGTTGGTAATTCAGTTCAAAATGAAACGAATTGTTGTGTACGGTTTTGTCACTCGTTATGGTTCGCAATCAATTGCCAGCGCAAGTGGTTAAGGTTCGCGCTAGGGACGAGACTTGTTCCGCTGTTCTTGGGGATATTATTAACTTCGTTGTGGAAAAGATGGGAAGTTTAATTGCTGCTGATGGAGATACTAGAGAAATGAGATGATGAGAGAGAAAATAGAGAAGAGTGACTGAAGAGTTTGAAATAAGGGAAATAACAACAAGTTTGAAATGACGAGTCATTTTTGCTAATTTTTGCTAATCTTTATTTGATAAAAGTGATTCTACGTTGAATGCAAGTTAAATAGATCGTTTGAGAGTAATTTTTTATTTATTTATTTATAGTCAACTCATTGAAATAATAAATAATCCAGGCAGAAGGTGAAGTTTACACGACAGAGTCAGAAACTATTTGAGAAATTATTATTTGTAGAA